CGAGCCATAAAAAAATCGATTCAATAAGGTGATCGGACAATGTCCGAGAGAAAACAAACGAAGCTTATCTGGTGTTGAGATCGGGACTGTCGCTAAAGTGATCGTTAATGACAGGTCGCAGAGCTTACAAACAAAATGAATGCTAATCGATGCTACAAAATACACAACCAGATGGATGATCGCTTCACAAACTTATCCACTTGCGGGGTTGGGGGTGGAAGGGGGGGGGACTTATATGATGAACAGACTGAAACGTCAGGCACCGCAGTACAAGACACGACTGCAAAAAGCATCAACTAGTGATCGGGGCACCAAGATTAAACTCCGTGTTTGGGATTGTTCGGGAGAAAAAAATCGAGTTCACTTTATAATAACAAATCATTTCGCTATGAAATTGTCGTTTTGTGGTTCCCTGTAGAACTAGGTAAACTAATGCTAGCGGTAGACAGCGGTGCAAATCCCCTGCATCTATCCCCAAATTCGACTGCCAAAATTTGGCTGCTGACCATACGTGAATGCTTTTGACTCGACTGGTCAGCATCATGCACCTTGTGCAAGTATGAGAGAGAGATGCATAGTAATGAGAGTGCATGTAATGAGCCTCCCGAAGACACCGATTTACAGTGAATCACAGCCGGATATCAAAGTAAATCCATGGGAAAACACATTCATTCCTACGATTTGGTATTGCCCTTATAGTAGGGATGATGATTCGCTCAAACCAGCAAGTACATGAATGCCTGAAGAAGAAGGAGAAGTAGGAAAGAATCATCCAATTGGAAGAAACATTGCGACAGAGATAAATAACCAACACATCTTGCTATTGCATTCACGCACACACAGACACACACATATACACACAACTGGTACTACTGTAAAACGTTCCAGAAGCAAATCTAGGAGCAGCCATGGTTTGAGGGTGATATGCAGGCGAAGGCAGCTACAATCAAGCATTTAATCAATCGCCTCTCGAGAGTATATATATATATATATTTGTGTATATACATACCATATACTATATACGATATATATATATATATATATATGAAAGATATAACAAAAAACTACCGGATACTCATGTCCAAACAAGAGGCAAGAACCGTGAAACCAGCCGTGTGCTTCAAGGGAAATTTTTTTGCAGTCATTGATCTACCATTTATTGTGATATACAGGTGTCGATCAAACTCGTGCAATATCACTCCCGTTTTGGAAATAAATTTCAGTTTGCAATATTATAACTTTATCGCCCACTTCTTGGTTCTTAGTTCTCTCCTATCACCATTTGAATTTTCGCGACCTTGAGTGTCACAGTAGTAGTTCGAAAGTTACGGTACAGATTTAGACAATATTTCATGCAAAGTATCGTGGAAATTCATTGTTTCGGATGAACGATTCCTGTTTCATGAGTGTTTATTAGGCTAAATTGCTGATCTCTTTTGATTCACAGTACAGTAAATAAGACAACTAATGAAAGTATTCCAGCTAAACAAATTAATTGATAAATTATTTAGCTAAGAAAAAAAAAGACATAAGTGAATAGTCTTACAGAAATGTTGCGTCTGATTTGAGGCATTATCATATTCTATCTCGTGAATGAGGCTGAAAAAAACTATGCATTGAAAAAGAAAAAAAATGTGATGAACTTCTGGGTGTTGCACGATTTTGGTTAATATCCATATATATATATAGATCACAATAAGTAGTATATATATTATGAAATTATTATTATGAGATATTCTGCAAAGACTCTCAAGTCACGTTTGTTTCGTTTAGTAGCATCTAACCCACCTACAAAACATTGAATCATAGTATTGATTCTTCAATGGATTGGCTTTGAAAGCGCTGTCGATCCAAAAATCACCCGGTGTAGCAAATACGGTTATTGTACCGAAGATACAGTTCCTGGGTACAAGGATATAATGAATTGACAAGAGATCACCGAATTCGAAGGCCTGAAGAGCGGCAAGAACAGTGCAACCAGTCTTGGGCTTACAGGGATTTTTTTCTAGTCAATCATATACTGCTTATTATGAATAAGAGAGAGCCCCCGTTTCTTGTCCAATGCAGTACGGTGCATTGATCATTCAATACGGATGTGGGTTTGAGGGCAATAATCACCTGTATACGCATGCATGCATGCATGTATACACACAGAGAGAGAGAGAAAGACAGACAGACAAAAGCCATAGCACACGAAAGGGTGTACTTAAAAATAGACATTTTATGGAACAGTGGTGCTATCTGACTTGTTTACAAGCTCCACAAATCAGTAAACGCGTTCGACGAACCCCGACCGCAAAGTTATCATTTGAATCAGCACTGGACACCAACAAATGAAAGTACAACTTGTTCACTCTCTTGTTCATCCTCCTAACCCCCTCCTGCCCTACCCGAACTATACACAGGGGATATATGAAATGCCAAAAAGAGGAACGAAACTGGTGAAGCTGAAACGGAACACTGGCCGTTTGGAAACCCAAAGTCACCAAATGCACCACAAAAGTAGGATGGTAGTGCTTGTCAAACATCCAGACACGCGATCGTTCTCTTTCCGTGTTGGTTTGTCAGTGGTACACAACCAGAGTGAAGAGTTGTCGATTGGGATTGGGCAACCGGCCGATTCAGGTACTTGGCGAGTGGAAATAGAACTAGAGAATAGAATTGAGTATTGCCCAGCCGATTCGGGATGCAGACTTCAACCAATTGAAACACCACTAAAAAAACCTGCGTTAGCCGCAGATAGGCAATATTTCACAGAAGCAAGTCGAAGATTCGCCTAACACCAATGTACGCGGAAATGTTGTCAAAAAGTCGTCTATAAGACGACAACGAAAAGTAATCCTGGTTGTTCACATTCGGCGCCTAGCTCTATGTATTGGGAGCGACAAATTACGGCATCCAGTTGGAGTAGCGAAAAACAGTCAAGCGAACGAATCACCACGGGGGTGATTAACGAAATCGGTTCGTTTCAGCCAGGATGAACAAAACTAATACAATAAATATTGGTGATTACGTCGTCACTTGAAAAAGATGCTTTCGAAGAGTGTCCAAAAGCTGTCCGAAAAAAGATTCACACATTGCGAAGATCTGTTCGAGGACGAACGGTATTCTGGTAGTGATTCTTAATAGTACGAATCATCATATACATCGATCGGATTAAAAGAACGCTTACCAATGGCTGGGCTGAACATCGTGAGTTTATGGCAGTGAAGAAGTGGCTGAGGATGGTATTTTACGCATATATATATATATATGTGTGTGTATGTGTGTGCGTATGTAATTCCGAATGAATGAGCGAGTGATTAGAACACTTATGCGCATAAAATGGAAGGACAGATTGTCAAGTGTGTCTGTGCTGCATCCTCACATCAATCAGTCTGATTATGGTAAGCCGAGAAAGAACACCAATCACGATGAATTGACAGGGGCGGACTGATGGTATTTCCACCTAATGAGTACCGCGAACAGGATCGATACGAGATGATGAATCAGATGCATCGAATATTCCACAATCCATAGAAGGCAAGCCGAAATTTGAGATTAGCTACGAATAAGACGATTGTCATCCACCTCCGGTCTAGCCGACTCATTTAAGCACTTTGATGGCCCGGTGTGGATCAGCGTGAGAGAATGGACGGTATATCATTGGAGAAGGACTAGTAGACTTCCTCGAACAATTGTTTACAGTTAGAAACTAATAACCTACAATCCTATGCCCATCGATAGCATTCTGTCGGCTCTATTTTCCGAATTATGACGTGTACAAGTACGATTAATAATCACAAAAAACTTGTTTGCTCTCGAACACGGTCCCTTAAAAAGGGGATATTGAAATCTGGTTGCTTGATTATGTTCACTGTGGATCAAACCAGCCAATTCATTCCGTCTCACATCAATGAGATACTTAGGGACCAATATAACACATGAAAAATTACTCGAGTTCAAATGATGTCTGAATTCTCCACTGTTCCAGTCAGTTTCATGCGTCAATCAGCTAGAGATGACCCCATTGAAAAGTTCGTCTATTTCGTATTCCGTTTGGTGATTGAAGACCATAGGATTCACCAGTTGGCGCCTTTTTACAATAATTTAACGCTCCGACTGGACCGGTTCAACGGTTTTGCAAAAATCCGCCCAATCGACTGATCCACGTGGACCGGTTAGACTGCGTTTTATTTCTCTTTCTCACCCCCACCCCCTAAGTAAAATGGAATCTCGGTGATTCGAATGCGTGAAAAACGTATCCGTAAAATGGTCGGTAGAAAATAAGGAAAGAAACGAAATGCAACTGAAAACACCTCGACAAAGGATCAGGGTGGAAGAGAACGCATGATCCATATCCAATACCATTTTATGGCATTATGGTTGATCCAAATGGTCAAACCGATCACAGTTATTGAGGACAGAGAGAGAGAGAGCGAATGAATAAGTGCTTTCGATTCGAGCTCGTCTCAGTCACAAAACTCGGATTTTTAGTCAATCAGTCAACGTACACTATATGCAGCATTCTAGGTGAGGATCGAGCATTTTCTGAGATCAAAACGTGGTGAATTTTCTGGGAACATAGACTTAATTCTTTTTATGCTACTAAATTCATACTTGGGGTATTACCCAGCATTGCAGACGTCACATCTGCCTAATTCGGGATCGTTTACGAATTGACATCCTCGGTGTCACTGGGATTTCGATCAGGGGGAAGATCTCAATTCTTTGCACATCCCAGCATTTCTTGAAAGGTGGCAAGAGTACGTGTGGTTTGTGGATCAATTATAGCCATAAACCGGGACAGTGCGGGTGTATGAAAACTCGCACTGCTAGCCTCTGGATCCGGAAACTGGATTTTACCGCTCTTCAAATGGTCTCCGGTTAAATCCTCTACTATGATTTGATAAATTTAGTCCACTGCCGTTCACCCGTCAAGCGGTTTTTCTGGATTTGGTCACTGGTTTGGGCAAGCAGCTACTAAGAGCTGAAATACGAGCGCTTAGTGCCTGGTGCAAAAGAAAGACAAAAGGCAGAAGTGCTATCCCCCTCCATCCACTCTCGTCTGACCATTCACACACTCCGAAAACCTAAGAGAAAAAAGTATCACGATACGGGTAGTGATGGAACTCGAGCGAAAAACCGATTTCTGTCAGCTGGCGTTGCTTCCCCCACCTAGCGCTTTGAGCCTCATTCACGGGAATGAATATGGTTTTATCCCACAGAAGAAACAACATATCTGCGAGGACCTTCTGTAACGCTTGTCAACCACGTCAGTAATATTTTACCGTGAGTGCTTGTATCTCACTGGACATTTTCTGCTCATGGCGTTTTGTTTGCTTTGCCTTGCAGGTTTAACTTCAACCCCGACCCACGGAAGACCTGTTTGGCAGTGTTTCCTCGCCGACCCGTATCCCGCATCCATACCGCCGTCGTTCGTCACCCGCAAAGCATCGTATCGTCTCCCGCTGTGAGAATACGAGCCGAGGGACATTCTGTGGCGCACATGCGTTCACTCCGCTGCGCTGCGAGAGCCCGGTGTATTACACTTCAACATTGCATCACGATCAACTTTAACGGAACAAGGATAACTGCACATAAAACGGCGCACCAATGGAAGAAAATTAAAAAACCAACAATAAATCGAAGGGAGTTTAATTACCTCATAGTGCTTCTCGGTGATCTGCATCAACCAGAACAGGCGCAATTCCGGACAGGACCGATGACGATTGGCGATCGAGTGGAGCAGATCAATGATAGAGAATGAGTCTTCCAACGCTGTTTGACTGATCCGGGTCCGTTTATCCGGACTGGAGAGTTTGTTCTGCAGACGCACAACGTCTCCGAAAAGACGACGCAAATTTTCCGCGATTTGTGTCACTTGCATTGGAAATGTGCAAATCTGATCATCCTCGATCGCCTGGAATAGGGCGTGAATGGCCTGATTGGTCCCGACGGGTGGTAGACAATTGGACATGCCATGAACGGCTGCATGGTCTTGGCATGAGACCACGTCCAAGAAATCGCGATCGTTTTCCGCGTACGCATGCAGCAGTGTGAGTGCGTTCTTTAGGTTCTCCTCGATTTGAGACAGCGGTTGACCACGAAGCCTCGCCAGATAGCCGTAAGGGCAAGCGGAGAGAAGTGTGTACGGTCGGGATACCACACGACTGTCTCGCAATTCGCTAGTGGCGAACAATACTCCAAATGCCGTGTGCAAATGCGTTTTCACACCGACCAGATTCTGGAATGCAAAGCAAGAGGCGTGTCCACTTGAACTAAAACAAACTGTATACATATAAGGGATAAAGAACTAGGAGGAACTCTCTCGCAACTCATATGACGCTGACCAGTTGCAGCAAGGAGTTTAGAGTCATATGCACTGGAATCTCCATCCTGAAAAAGAATGGTTTCTAATACACCATCATCATCATCATCGCGCAGTGAGATATGGATAAGTAAACTTCGCTGGTCGTTGCCAAGCTCACAATGTGCACAAAGTAGGTGTGAAGTACAACATGGATAGGGTTTTGGGCTGACTGGAAGGAGACGAAGAAAGTGAACTTCTATGGTCAACACTGAGTACGCAATCAAACTCTGCATACAAACCGTTTCAAGCATTCCGATCTGATAAGCGATGAAAAGAACGCCACTGCTGTCAGATAGTTTCTATATCTCTCAATGTCTCCAACCATCCGGTTACATAGTTTTTAGGACCACAACCTGGCAGACGGTCAGATACCTATTTTATCTAATCGCTGTATGCATTTTTTAGGCCTCGTTTCCACGTCATTTGCTGACCTCTATGTGGTCACTTCCAACCTGGAGCCACAACTGCGTGGTGCGGTAGCGATAGCTGGGCATGCGCAATGTGTCCTAACCAGCGAAGCTGACCAATCAGCATTCGACGAGATAACCAATTCTCTACCGAATCAAAACAGCGATGGCTTACCTCTGAGTTGTTTACACGCCCACTCCATCCAACCCGCGCCAAACCAAGTAAACCATCCAGACGACATATTCCAAGCACAAATTTAGGACCTCGCAGCCGTAAAGCAGAACTGACCGCACACTGGAGCAGTATACACGACCTTTTGGTTTCAACGAAATGTCACTTCCGCACCAAAAGCATGTCAGTTCTACGTACGGTGCTCGTATCTTGGAAATGCAATTGGTTACTTCGTTGACTACGCCATCATCATTTGTCACTCAATTGCTACCTAAGGAGGCACAACACTCCGGTGTAACTTCTGATACACCTAAGAACAACGACGATTCTGTCAGATGAGTTGATCGCTGGCAAAACATGTATTGACGACAAAGTTTTTAACCCCGTTGAAGAGTTCCTTTTAGGACATTTTGAAGAGCAATGCCTACCAAAATATGAAATAGCCGTTTTTTTAGGACAGTAACGTGTTTTACAAATTTAATTCACTTTTGCGAATAGTACTGTCCTGTATTGACGGTCCCACTGGGCAGGCACAACAACTTCGGTCCAGAGAGGAGTCACACAACAACTGCCACAGTACATACAACAATACACTAAAACTTACTCACTCATACAAATTCTAAGAACTTATTTCTAAAGATAAAGACTGAGTTCAACTGTTACCTTGTCCATTTAGGTGTGTGTCTGTGTGTTGGCGATTACGTGCGCCTGATGGAGCCCCGGGGATTTCCTATTTATGTGAATGCGAAATAGGACGTGTAAAAATTTAGCCGGGTGAGAACGACAGCATAATGATTTAATGTGCCACGAGTCTGACAGGAATTAGGTTTCGCAAAGTGAACAGAATGTGAAGATTGGAAAATTTCGCAATGAATCATTTACAGAAATTGAGGGGAAACGCAACCAATCGTCAAAAACAGTTCCACAGAGCACAGATCAAACGAGACACCGAGCGGCAAACATGCTGCTGGTTTTCACTGGGTCATAATCAAGGCAATGCATCACAATATGGAACACCAATTTAAGGAGACAATTCGGAAGGGAAAAACGTGTATCAAAGATGACTATCGTTGCGTTCATCTTAGGACCGGATGTGAAATGTACAATGATCACACCGTTGTTTGTTCAGACATTCACTCATTCATCCTACCATCGAGATTACAAGGGGATGCAGGATGGGTGGGGCGAGGGAATGCAACAATTGCTTTCAGACGCACAGATGGGGTTGGTGCATTCGAAATCCTAAAGTTTCCACTGGAACTCGTATCCTACGGTGAACCCACCCTAACAATCAAATACGAAAATTTTGTGGGGAGCACCAGGCTTCGATCACATTCAGTGTGACTGGCTTTTCTCCGTGTGCGAAATTACTGCGCTCCGAATTTGACTTAACGGTTTCCCTTTTGTTCAGACACGAACAATCGACTGACCCGGCAGCCTATCTAAGTTGTTTGCTTTTGATTGACTAACTCCTGCGGGAGGGTAAGTCGGCTTCTTGGATGTCTCTAATGATGGCGGCCCATGCAAGACGATGGATAACAAGGTTGACGCAGTGTGAAACCCAGTTCTGGGTTCANAAGTCGGCTTCCTGGATGTCTCTAATGATAGTGGCCTATGCATGACAATCGGTGGCAAGGTTAACGCAGTGTGAAACCCAGTTGTGGTTCCAGTTACGAATTCCATATACGCACTGGAGGCCCAGTAATTCAAAATCTGTCTTGATCATATTACTCCAGGTCTTCAGTTGACCACCGTGTCGGTAACACCATCCACGACACGGTGCGGGGGCTACAGCCTGTTGCGAGAGTTGAGTGTCGAGCCTTCGGATCACATGGCCAAACCACTGAAGGCACCGGCGTTGTAGCATTTTCGAAAGCTTGTCGAATCGCTGGAAATCCGATCTCTCCAATTTACTTTCAAGACGAGGAGTAAGCACCAATGATCCAAGACTTCGAGCTTCCTTGAATCTTGTAATCTTAGCGGCCAGGTTTCACAACCATAAGTGAGGATGGGGCGGTTGGAGGCCTGATAAAGCCGAAGCTTAGTGTTTAAGCTTATTTCGCATCCATTCCACAACAGTTTGAGGAGTTGTAGGAAGGCTCTTCTAGCTCCATTTACACGGAGTTGGATTTCATCTGATTTATACGATTGACCACAGGCTGGAGACTGCCCATGGTGTCTCCAAGTACAACGACACCATCCGCAAACTCGAGGTTAGCAATGCATGTACCTGGGCCAAGCTGTATTCCAGAGTAGTCGATGA